TGCTTCACGGGTTTGCTTAGCTATGGTGACACAAGCAATTGCAAAGACATTATGCTTTGTTACTTTCATGAATATAGCTGTGGGTTGGGAGTCCTCCCCAGGCAAAAAGGCACCAGCAACGAGCTTTTTGGCTTGTTACAAAGAAAAAAAATATCGGTATAGAGAACTCTTTTATTACAGACATGTTAACAAATAAAAACAGCATTAACTTGCCACAGAACACAAAACACCCGGCACAGAGAGCAGCTTATTATAAATTTGCTGTGGTTTTATGTGTGGTGCAGATATTTACTTTTTGAATTGTAAACGCAGGTTCTCCTGTCATTTCAAAAGGTCACGAACAGCAGTCCCTGCTTGCTGCCTCCAGGCAGTGAATAGAGCCGGGCGAGCTGGCACACTGCGGTGGGGGCAGGCTGCAATCTGAGCCTTTCTTCTCAAAAACCACTGCCTTCCCCGCAGTAAATGGGACCGGCGTTATAGCTATTTGCAGCTCAAGCGCCAGCTCCCGTCCAGAGCTTGCAGCGACTTTCCACCCCGGGCGGCATCACAACGTGGCAGCGCGGAGGGATCCGGCCGGTCGGTTTGGTCTGAAGAAGCATTCCTGTGCCTCGATAAATCTGCTCTGAAACAGGGTTAGAAAGCAGCTACAATTTCCTAATTCCAAGATTCTGCCCTAAAGCGCAAGAACACGTTGTGCAGTCAAAGGGGGCAGATACGCAGGATGCTCTGTTGTCCCTCAAGTGCAAACACTATCCCCATCTAACCAGCATTAGCTAAAAGAAAGATGAACAAACAGATACCGACACCTGCCCGTAAGCTGCTCGTGTGTGCCCCGTTCAAGCCCTGCAAGGATGGACCCTTGAAACCTGGTCAGTCCCTAACAAAAAACAAGATCAAGTTAAAAGCTTCCATTAATATTGCCACATAATGACCCATCTCCTGAAGAACATTTAGTTGCACTAAGTGTGCAATCAAAAAAGAACTTCTCTTACAGCATTAAATAGATATCTTCAGCAATATAAAATGGATGTGCCTTATACATATGTATTGAACAGAGATATATATGTTGTTGAAACATCTAAGGCTAGAGATCAATCATGGTGCGACAGCTGCGCATAGGGAGGAGCTGCAGAGATACTCTGGTTAGCAGAGGATCGTGCGAGGGACCAGCTCTTCCCAGGGGTACCGCTGGCATCTCTGGGCGGGAGCAGGTAACACCTTCGGTATCATCCTAGCTCCCCTATGGAACGTGGGAATGACTCCAACTGGCGCCGCACGGGCCAGAGCGGCGAGTGTTAAGCTGCGACGGTGATTAGCATCCTCACTTTCCTCCTCCGGTCTGACTTGCTTTGTATTTACCTTCCCGTGCACGGCGTACAGATCTCTTTCTTTTGAAGGCAAGCATAAAGCTCCCTTTGACTTTTATGGGAATGAAGTTAAAAAGGTGACAAGCACATCAGAAAGCCCATGCGCTCTCTCCAACCTGAATGCCAGTGGCCTAGTTTTGACATTTTTATTAAATGAAACTCCCTGTAACCCGCAGCTGGGTGTTGGTATGTGGAACTTGCGGAGCTAAGGTCTAATTTTGTTGGCCCAGACGATTCCTGCCTGTCCATGCACATAACCTGAAAAGAAACCACATCGTTTTTAATCACGCTAACTTCTTATCATGCTAATGTTATACATTATTAAGGAAAAATTCCTCCTGTGCCAACTAACTGCTACCTCATTTCTGCTACCTCATTTTGTACCCTTTACCCCATGAAACTGTACCCTTTCTTGTGAAAATGCTGCTCCTGAGCCAACATCCATGTGTGTGTTCATCTTCCATCTGCTGCCTTTGAAGGGCACCGATGATCTGAGCAGTAACTCGAATTAATCCAGCACAAAGCCCACCCACTGCTAGAGAGAGCAGAGCAGGTTCAGTGAAACTGCAGTGAGACCTGAAAGTGGTTTGCTCCCAAGATTATGCACATCACAAAGCAAACGGCTTCCTCTGTTCCCGGAGCTAAACGAAACCCTACGAGCTAAACTGTTAGAGACGGAAGAAACAACTTCTACATGATTAAGTAGATTCTCTTTGCTTTATTAAAGCAAAAGTAGGCATGAAAATGCAAAAGAAAACACAAAGTACAAAGAATCATGGCAGGCTCTGGACTTTGGTGTTTCTTAAGCCTTTTTTCCAGTTCCTGCAGAAGCCAATGAAAATAAACAGAAAAAGCGTGTTAACCTCCCTGCAGCAAATACACACCGAGGTGCTACTGATCCTCATCCCCACATCCGCCAGTAATTCCTCTAATAATATCACAAAAAGCCAGCATTTGAATATAAAAAAAAAAGCAAGAATTCACTTTGATACTGAAGAGAGAGAGAACATAACCCCAATTCCCCACTACAGGTTCCACGGCACAGAAGCTTTGGGGGACGGGTGGTACTTGAGAGGAGTAAGTGCTTCCTTCTTAATGCATACATGGCTGGAGAGGCATCATATACTGCTGCATACACCAGGCAGATGATACATGGGCAGCATCCTCCTTCTAAACCATTTTTCTTTTGCACTATGCTGTCACCAGCAAATTAGTATTTGCATACCTCTATTAAATTTGATTTCTTCCCAGTCTCCCTGCAGCAGAGTACCCAGCAGGTTACCTCCACTCTCACAAACTACTGAAAACGCTATTGACATGAGCTTGGGCAAAATACAAAGCTCTCCAAAGGAGCTTCTTAGACTGCTCATAAACATCCTCCTGCTGATGACAGACAGCAGGGCATGATGCGCTCGCTCTTCTGCTAACAGCCAGGAAGCCCTGAAGAAGAGAGGAATATACGTTGGCACTGCCAGGTCTTTTAACTGATTCATTTGCAAATATTAGTAGATCATATCAACATTCAAAACGCTTGCAGTCCTCTAAAACAGGAAAAGCTATTGAGAATAGCAGTGTGTTGGCTGGCATTCAAGAAAGTTATCTACTGATTTTGTTGACGCTTACATGAAGGAATTTCAGGAGGAAGAGCACGATCAGAGCCATATATAGCAGGAGGGGAAAACTCACAACTGTAAAGAGAGATTTCCCCTTCAATTTTTTTTTTGTTTGCTCCCCCCCTCCCCCCTTTTTAATGAAATCCCCATAGCATGATTGAAAAGCATCAAGGAATTTAAATGCTCATATTCTTACTGGGACTTTGCATAGAACCCAAATGTACCATAACAGCATTTGCCCCAAGAGCTGGATTGCTATGCTCAACTCACGAAAGGTCCCTGAAGCAGAAGAGTTAGCAGTTTCCTGCCTGGCAGAGTTGGGAGACTACATACGTGGTGGTCAGTCGGCTTAAACCTCCAAATTCTCCTCCCTTTCAAAGACATTCGACAACCATGATTAGTTGGGATTACACAAAGGTAATACAATGCAACATCAAGCATCTGTCCACTTAGGTTCACCTCTCAAAACTCCTGAATTTGACGTGCATTTTTAGTGCTTCCGAGCGGGAGGACAACAGCAGCGTCGCGCCCTGGTGACATGCTCCGGCCTGGCACAGCTGCTCCGACTCGCTGCGCTTCGCTGCACGACACCGCCCGCGAACGCAACACAGGCAGCAAAGGCACGGATTCACCGTTGTACCTGCACCCGCAGGAGGGCCTTTCGCGACAGCCTGCGTCCATGGGGCCAGATCTCGTCCCGCCCCGACCCATGGCGTTACGCTGGCTAACGCCTGCACGTGCTGCTCCGGCCAGACCCACCGGCCAGAGCTAACACCACCATGGTGGTGGCTCACAAATACGAGAGAAAGGGAGAACTGAACTATCCGGGCAACAAAGACTAGATCACTTTCTGTGAAGTGGAGCCTACCAAATATATAAATCCAAACACAACTGCCCGGTGGGCCTGCGTTTCCTTGTGACCTTGAGGTATAAAATGGAGTCAAGCCAACGTTTGTCTGCTTTGAAAAATCAAGCTCCCTTTCTCAAAAGTTCCTGACCGCTGAGCGCGATCAGCAATTGAAGAACAACTAACCTTTAATTTTTTGTGTTTTCACTGACTGCTTGTGTTTGTCAGAGCATGTTTACCCATCGTCACATGTGCGGCATCAGCTTAGGCACAGGTCAGGGTGCTCATCTCACAGCATAAAGCTTGTAGGGACACAAGGGTGCGGTGAAGGTGTGTGCAGGATGGGCCTTGCCCCGCGCTGCAAACAACTACTAACATTAACGGCAGCTGTGTGCACCACAAAGAAGGGGAAGTCCCCTAAGCATTTCCTTTCAAGTTCCCCAAAATGCCATGGAAATACTATGCCATTTACCACAACTATCTCCCAAAGGATAAGATTAATTATGAAAGTCCCACGGCCTCACAGATCCTGAAGAGCCAGTCCTGGATGCTTGGCTCCTGGGATGCTTGGCTGTCGGCATCGGAAACAATCTGCAGAACAGTTTGGACAAATGGCAAGAAAGTAGCATAACTGGAAAATGTGGATCTTCAGACACCCGATGTGAACAGAGCAGGTGAGGGGCACAGAGAGGTGGGGGCGTCAGGTGCCCAAGGGGAGCAGGGGAGAGCTGGAGGTTTGAAAGATTTCAGGCACTTGTGAAAGGGGGATATGGTTGTGTCTGAGGAGAAAAGAAGCGTTTCAGAAGTGGAATGTGACTGCTGAGCGTCCCGACTTCATGGACGGACTGAGGCTCAGGTTGCCTGACAGTCATCGGGAAAAACACCCCAGACGGAAAACAGCCATGGGCAATCTTTGGGGGTTTCCAAAGGTCATACTCCTCTCCAGCCCTTTTACTGACACAGTAACACTCCAGGTACTCTTGTGACCGAGGCTTTCCTTAGATAAGCTAATACACCTAATGCTCCTCTAAGCTGCTGAGAGCGCCCACAGGTCTGCAGGGCCACACACATGGGCAGAGCAGATGACAAGCAGCACGTTTTCCGGAGCAGACCTGCACAATGACTACGAGGTGGCTGTCCGACTCAGAAGCTTTATTCCTCTCCTTCCCTTGCCTCGTCTCTATTTCTCTACTGCAGTATCAAGACGCATCTGCTTCCCAGCACCATAATGCAAATAAAAAGTCCTGAAGGAGGCCAGAAAAGTTACCCACTCCCAAACTTATAGGTTCAACCTGCTTCTTGCCTTGTTTTGTTTTATAGAAAAAAAACAAAAAAAAACCCACAAAAAAACAATGACAGCTGGTGGCATTTCTCCCAATTCCTCATTCCCCGTGGCCCTGGGCCACTGAAAGTCACTGTGGAAAACACACAAACTAGAGTGTGTAAACATGGTGCCACTGACACTGTGTCACATCATCACGTGTCACAACATACCAAGCCAGCCACATCTAGGCAGAAGCCATGGCAGGTAGTTCAGTTCAGAGGTACCACAGGAAAAATAGAAGTCAAAGGAATCCCAGCAGGTAGTAGCTTGTTACTGTCTATCTTCTCGGCATATAGTCTCTTTAGAGGGGATTCCCCAAGGCACTGCAGTACAGTAGTGCAGAAATAACAGGCAGGAGATGGCTGAAATGGGGGTGACAGAACTGGGAGGTCCCCTCCGGCACATCACTGCGCGTGGAAGTAGATAGGTTTGACTTTTCCAGACAGGATCTTGGGAACCTGCACAGAGATGATCTCAGCCATCATTTCAGGGTAGTCCACGCTGACCATATGTGCCTTAATCAAAAGGTCAAATGTAAACTGATGCAGATCCTTGGCAATCTAGGAAAGAAAGAAGGTCTATTAGGTGAAAATTCTCTGTTAAGTGATTTCTCCATGGAGATACTAAGAAGACATTAGCAAACAAAACATATCAGAGCTGGACTTAGCTGTTGCAAGGGTAGTGATGTCCAGAGAGCAAAACCAGATCTCACTGCAGCAGTCAGCTGGCAAGCAGTCATCCCAAAGGTAAACCACGGAACTACCCAGTCTGGGAGCACGCAGCATATTTTGTCGCGATCTTCTTTCATGCTCAGAAACTACTGAGGTGTACTTCTCACAAAAATGAGAGTGCATAAAAATGGCGCTTTCTCACTCCCATAGAAACTTGCCTTACTGTGTATGCAGATGCTGCTGAGTTCATTTATTAACAATTACTTTTTGCTTGCAGACATACTACTGTATGGACATGGAGCTGACACCCTCAAGAAGCAGCAAGAGTCTACACGCTTCACCAATAAAATTGTAAGTCACAAAAACAGAATTTCTTTTTAATGATGTAATCAGAGAAAACTGACAGAATCACAGAACGGTTGAGGTTGGAAGGGACTTTTAATGATCATCTAGTCCAACCTTCGTGCTCAAGCAGGGTTGCCCTGGAGCCTGTCCAGATGGCTTTTGAGTATTTCCAAGGACGGGGACTCCACAACCTCTCTGGACAACCTGCTCCAGTGCTCAGTCACCCTCACAGTAAAAAAAAGTTTTTCCTTATGTTCATTAGGATGCACTGAGATTTGGCTACTCTGCTGGGCTGACAACAGAAAAGATCTATATGTAAGGGAGCTTTCACATCACCAAAAAGGAACTCCGTAAACCAAAGCACGAGAGGGGCGTCCGCAGGGAGTGAGACACAGCTAACGTTCACTTCCCAAAAAGAGCGGGCTGCTGTCTCGTCTTTGTTGCTGAATCTTGGAGCATTCTGTGGTACTGCCCTGGCAAATGTGTGTTAAACAGTAAATCACTTCACAGAAGAAGTCTGTGCAATCTCTGTGGGCCCTCTTCTGTTTCTACTGGAGAAACTCGCAAGGTGCATCAGCAGTAAGTAAGCTTATCTTAATATAAATCAATCAATCATAAATCGGTCAAATCAGTCTGGTGTGCTTCTCTCTCTAAACACAGAAAAACCCGCAGGGTCACATATGCTGATGCTCTTGCCTCCTGTCCAGCTACTCCTGAACAGTGACATGATGGTGGGTAACAGCGCGGTCATTTTTGCTGTCTCCTGCACATTTGTCTCCTTTGTTCTTTCAATAACAAGAGCATCTGGATATAATCAGGACAAAATTTGCCTCTAGGCTTTCACTCAGGGAGATGAGGAGGACATCCACACCATTAAAAAATGAAAGCCACTAAAGAAATAATTACAGGTAAGAATGTCGTAAACACAGTGTTTATAACTTTAAGAGTTATAACACTATTTCTTGAGGTTCTTGTTTTGGCAGGATTCCCTCTCTGCTATATTCCCAAATCCCTCAGCTCCAATGAACTCTACTCCCCCACAGCTAAGGTGATTAATGGCGATGTTTAGTCATTCATTTCACTGTCCTCTCTTACCGGATGCACGGAGTCCAGGACCTTGGTGAGCTGGTAAAATCGCCGAGAGCAGGAGGTAGGATTCTTCCTCTTGCAAGCGATGATACGGTCAAGTTCCTTAATGTAATTCATTCGAAGCTCATCAAAGAGCTTCTGGTTCTTCAGGCCATCCACTGGAACTTAACAGAACAAGAAGAGGAAACAGTAATAGTTGCCGACAGAGTGCAGGAAAAAGAAAAGGAAGGAATAACAAGAAAACTGAGGAATTGGTCAGTTCAGACCTATCAGAACAGATTTCCCCATCAGCTCCGCTTCCACTATGGAGCTCATTCTCATCAACTTGCCGGACCACTGCTTAGCCCCTTTAGGACGTGCTACAGGCAGAAGCAATGCAGCAAACACCAGTATGATTTTCCAGCTCAGGAGCTCGTGCTCAGAGGTCCACATCGCGCTAGCGGTTAGGCTGGGGAGCAACCTCCCGCAGGAGCTGCACGGGGAGAAATGCTGCTATATGCACAGGCAGGGTGGGCTGGCTGCAGTGGGTTTGGTTGGCCTCCTTGCACTTGGCAGCTTGTTTTCTCTGAGCAGCTCAGCTTGAAACGGAGAGAAAACATCCAAATCCATCCCTCTGGGCATACGAGTGTGCGCATATGCATAGGAAAAGCACCAGATACTTGCAAGATGAAACAGTGTATAGCAACTGATAATTCGTTGAGGGAAAGATGCTAGCACTTACTAATACTGAAGAAGAGTAGAGCCTTCATACAGAGAAACTCCTGGGGTGTGATCTGAAGCCACCCAAACTCCTGAGAGAGGTGCCGCATCCTGACACACTGGCTGTACATTCTGGATTTGTGCATCCGGTATCTGGCAGGGGGAGACGCATAATGCATTGGCAAGAAGATTAAAGCCTTGCTTGCGTGATGTCTGTAGGTTGACATTTTCTGTCTGACCCAGCAACACCCAGCCTCGTCTGGCACATCCCAGCCGCAGGGGAACTGAACTCCATCTCCGGGGGAATGCCAACAGCAATAGGCCTGAATGCGGGAGAGGAAAGTTTTCCAAAATACCCATGTGTGACTGTTTGTCTGGAAATAGATAACTAACTGGGATTTGCAACATTCATTTGATCCTCTGCCTTCCTGAAAAATGACTGCAATGCTTCATGACATTGGGCTATCCAAAAGGGATGTGAAATCCTGCCTGAGCTCTCAGAGAGAAGATGCATTTTTGCTCAGTGCTGTGCTTATTTATTTACTGTTTTAATCCTTGCTACCTTAGGGTCAAGAAAATCTCCCCAACTCTAGGCTGATGGCAAATCAGAGTGCAATCATCAGGAACTTAGGATGTACATTTACTTCTGTTTCAAAATGGCAAATCAGTATCCTGGCAATTACTCTGATACTAATCTGTAAAAGGAAGCATATTTTCTCTTCAAGGCCATGACCGAACGGCACATTTTGGGATTATTCAGAAACTACAAAAACATTTTCTGCAGACATTGTCTTTGGGTCAGCAACAAAAGGAACGATCTGCAAAGGTCACTGCACAGATCTACAGCACAGGAAGGCCCTAAACGTCTGGGAAGGTAAGTTACTATCCCTAAAAACCTAATGCTAATACTAATGAATGGCAAGCGTAGAGATCAGCGCAGCTCCAGGTGAGCTGCGTTCCTGAGCGAGGGCTACTTTTAGGACAAGACCAACACCAGCCTCTCCCCAGCCCAGCAAAAAAGGATCATAAAAGGACAAGAGGGCCACGGTGGCCAAAGCCTGTTCACTGGCACTGCTGCCCGTGTTGAACAGCGACCAGGCGCCACACCATTTACCTGTGATTTGCTCATGCCCAATCCTCACAATGAGAGCTGGAATTGAACTCTTTGGGGTAAGACAGAGGTCGGGACGTGCAAGAAAGGGGGAAGGGAGCGTTGTAATTCTGGGAGAGCTGGGAGACTTGGCGTACAGAGAAAATGCAGAGTGAGAAGAAGGTGGTGGCTGCCCTGGGGAAAATTCAGGAAGCACGAGGAAGTGAATGGTGAAAGGAAGATGCTAAGATGCTCTAGTGAGTGATGCTGAGTCTTGATCTTCATACCAGGCTATTCTCACCCTCCCTTGCTCTTGTTCTTCATTAATACTGCAAAGTATGCAAAAAAAAAAAAAAAAAAAAAAAAAGAAAGGCCCTGATATCCCTGCTCCTTTGGGGGGATGGAGCTGAGGGGAGCTGAGTGCCCCGGCAGAGCACCCACGCTTGGTAAGATTTGCTATTTTGGCTTCTCAAACAATGCAACTGGGAACAGGACTGTGTTTTGCCTGGTTTTTAATTTCTAGCTGCAGAAACAGAGGCCAGCCTCAGTGTTCCCCCTAGATAAAACAGCTCTCCCCCAACTCTTTGCTTTCGTTCACACTCTGTTTGCTCACTCTAACAAACCAACCAAGCTGAAAACTGGAAAGCAAATCCCTGAAAAAAAAGGCATGTCTATATGGACTGGTTCTTATACCCAGCATCAGGGCTTTTTGCAGCCTGGATGGAAGTTTAACTGAAGGTAAAGCTGAGGCAAAGGCAGGAAGGTCCGGGACAGACGCTGCAACTCTCCTGATTACTCCTGGAGATTGCTTCAGAGCAGCTAGAGGAAAGAAAGCAGGACCCTCTTAAGCTTTCTTGGTCAGCTCTCAAAGCAAGATTACTCAAGCTGTACATCACACAGGTGGCCTGTAAAGTAACCTCCTTGCCTTGTTCTCCATTTCTCATCTAGTCTGACCCAGACAAAACAAAATATTAAGATCGTTGTTATGCAGCACTTACTCATTGAAGACCAAATCTGGAGCAAAGTAAAGCATCCTGGAATTGACATTGGTGAAAGATCTCCAACCCATGGCAAAAACCATGAGACCCATCCAAGAGTACTGGATTATTGACATCTGGTCATCCACATGCAGGTTACGAAATCCTGTAATAAAGTGACAGAGCAAGGTTATAAATTCGTATCGGGTCCAGCAGTCACCAGGACAGTTTTCAGGCAGCACTGAATCTCCAGCAGGGCTCCTGCTAGGACAAGGTGCTCCGCAGCCCAGACGCAGCTTGCCCGGACACACGGATGCACCCGGCTGACACGGCTGAGGCTGTCCCGTACCGCTGGCACCCGGCCCTGACGTACTGAGGGGAAGTCAGCACCTCTCCAAGCCACAAAACCGCACTTCAAGGCGGGGGACAGGATTCCCCAAACACAGGGAGGCGATAAAGACCAGGTGAAAAACACAAGGAGCAAAGTGCTTTAGAGGAAAGGGATGACAAGCTGTAGTAAGCGATACCCTCCCCCAAAAGTCTCAAAGAATTTCACAAATTGTATCTGAACATTTTGCAAGTCCCAGTGAGATGAACAAACCTCATTCTGCTACAGAACAGACACAAAAGATACAGCAGGTTGTGGTTAAGCGACCTCCAAAAGCCACAGGGAGAGCAATTACGGGTCCTACGCACTTCCAGCTCCCGACAGGCCCAAGTTATTAGTTTAACAGCATTCATTTCTAATGGGCACTAATTAGAAATCCAGAACTGACTGCTGCACTGTGCGCCTTACGCTATACAGTCATAAAGCAAACTCTGAGGTCTCTGCTCCAAAACATTTACAACTACAGTGTGAGATGGTATGTCAAAAGCAGGCGAAACAAACAGCTGAAGAGAATTGGGTTGTTTTGTTCTGTTAATGAAAATACACCAGCTGATCGGGAGCCGGAGCCCTAGATAGCGATACAACTCACCCTATCAAATTCCCCAGGCACTGAGGCCGAAGCAAGCCCTCATTAAGCAATTATCTCCTTTGGGTGAAATTTTGGCACTCAATGAAAACTGAAAAAATTTTTTTGCCAACAGGTTAGGACTTCATCAAAAGTAAGTAAATGGATTTTAATATATAATGCTGAAAGTCATCACTTTTAATATATAATGCTGAAAGTACCCCAAAGCCTTATCACAAAGCAAATTTCTTCAGATTGTCTATCATAAAACATAACATATTTATCTAATGAATAATTAAAATCTCTGCTGAACTGCAAGCTCAATAAAAATACAAATTCAATTCAAACTAGTACTTCCAGATGATGGTTCACAGATAAATCATAGGCATGTTTACAATACACACACGAACATGCCCTCAAACACGGTACTTTGTGAGTGTACTGAGAGAAATTTTTCCGGATATTTGTAAGTAGCCAAATGTAATCTGCTTTACAAGAAAATTCTGTGCTACGTCAATCAAAAACTAAAACAACTGCAACACCTTCAGTGCGTAATTATAAGTTATTGAGGCAAGCGTCTGTCTCTTGCTTGGGAAGCTGTCAACTTCAAATGAGCACAAGTCATGTTTTACTGCTGACTAAAATTACTTTAGTTTGCACATTTTCCTTTCAGCTTTCATGTCACTGGATTGAAAAAAATAAAAGCTTCTGTGCAATGACCTACAGAACTCGTATCGGCAGTTTTCCCTTCTGAGGACTCTTAGCTACCTCTTGACGGTACATTAACTTTCAGGCAGCCAGAGTGAAACTTGTCAAGAGAACACAACTGTAGACTAGGCATGTGGATAACTCAAAAGGCTTCATAAATTAGTCACACTCATTTCTATTCTGTTCTGTTGCTACTGTTATTTTTCCTTACCTAGAGTTTCTGAAAAGATGGGAAAAACCTGACGTACTTGAAAAGTAGCCATACAGTTGGCCCCCATACCAGAAACTTTATAGTGAGAAAGAAGTGCTATATGATGCTGGGAATACTCCTAGACTGGCACTCGAGTGATGAGGATAAACATTTACTCGGTCTGCCATACACTTATTTTCCCCTCAAGTTTGTAAGCTTTTTTTTGGTCCCCTTTTTAAATTGCTCATTGAAGGAAAAACATGTCTTCTCCTCAGAGGGAATTAAGAGACCATTGGTGAGCTGTCCAGAGAAGCTGAAGTCCGTGGTTTTGCCTCGGACATCTTAGCTAGCAGAGACGTATATGCTTCCTTACTTGAACTGACCTCAGGGATGGACGCCTTTGGACCTTCATACTTGACTTATGCATTTATTACACCAGGAAGAGCACAATAAAGTCCTTCTTGTACCTTCTGAGTCCAAGCACACGTCAGCAGTTGGCCAGTCTGGCACAGGTATATATGTATGTACGTATATACACACATGCATACCCAGGCTGTAAGACCGACAGCAAAGGAGAAGAGGAGTAAGATGGGATGCAGAGAAAGTAGAAGCTGCTGTATTAAGCCAAAATCTGCAGGGGTGGAAGCTAGTCCCAGGACAGAGGTACAGGCCTAGAGTGGGCTAGCAGGTCATTACAGGAGATATGCCCCCATTTCAGTGGTTTGCCTGCTCTCTTCCTTGCTCTATTAAAAAAAAGAGTAAACACAAAAAAGTAGGTCAGACTGAAGCCTCACAATCAAGAGTGCCTCTGTAGTTTGAAGGAAGCTCTAAAGAAAGATTCAGCCCTGGCAAATGCAGCTGGCGCTGGCAAAGCATTTGGAGTTCTCCCGACAGACAGGCGCTGCGAGGACACAAACATGCCAGCGTCTTCAGGCAAAAGGTGTTCCCCAAGAAAGGAGCTTGTAACCACGCAGAAAAGAGCATCCTGTGAATACGGCCATACTCACGACAGCAGATGCTCTGTCTTTGAAAGAGATGCAAGAACTTCCCCGTCACACCCTGGGTCCAAGAGCTGCCTTAGGGCCAGAAATTGCAAGCCAAGACACAAGGGAGAGGATCAAGTGAGGGAGGAAGAACGCAAATGTGAGGTCTCCCTCATGCCTGCGTTTTGGGAGTGAGGCCCTTAAGTCCTACCACCAAAGAGGAAACCTATACTCTGTAAGGGAATTAGAGACAGAAAACATACCTGTACTGCTCACAGGGGGCTTTTAAACCTGCCCTGGCTGCGCTTCTGCTATAACTTCTGGTGGTGACGGACCTGTGTGACCCCTCTCTGATGCGAAGGGAAGGGAAGAAGCTGGAGAGGCCAAAACAGTGGCCAACAAGGGGCTGCAGTCTCGTTTTACTTGAGTGCCATTTGGTCTTCTACAGAGCGATTTAAGAGAGGAAGGAGCTTTTCTGATGGGCCACGGAGAGCAGGAGGAGCACGTGCTGCGCTGCTCCCACAGGCACCATGGGGCTGGGAGGTGATGGCGCTCCGGCTCCTTGCTTTGGAGGGCAGCTTGCGTACAGGCCTCTTCTCCGAGCAGACGAGAGACCCGATGCAGTCCACCTCCCACAAAAGGGCAGAATGCACCCTGTAAAAGCTTAGCTGGTTTCTTACAGTCCAGTGAACAACCAGGAAACATCTTGCGGAGTCACAGTAAGCAGAGACCGTTACCAGAGACTTTTGTTCCCAGAAGCCAGGATCTGGAACTCTTCCTGGACAAAACATGTTGGGATACCTTGTTCTGGGCCTGCCAGGCACCTCCAGAGCTTCCTTGGGACCATCAGTTCACAGTGAGACTACCTGGGTTGATCTTGTCTGTTGCTGTCACTTCTCATGTTGACGTTTCTCTGCCAGTAACTTTATTTTTTTCAGAAGCATCCACAGTCTCGTTCTGTTTTGCAGGTGAGCTTTCCAATTTTAATCAATCCAGTAGTTTGTTCTAGAGCACTAAAAAGGCCTTAATCAAAGTCCAGTGAATTCAGTGAAATATAATTTGTAATTCTCATAAAGGATCTTTCTCCTTTGGTTGGTTCAGCATCAATAGGAAAAAGTAGTCTGAAACACCAACACCTACAGCAGAACTTCTTCATTCTCCTTAATCCAGCTGTGAGGTTATAATCGCTGGGTGTATTTGGGGAGCTCTGTGGTGTGTGTGCAAACCAATGATCAAAAAAGCCTCTGCAAGTTTCAGTTTTTACCTACACACCAGGTTTCCCGTGAACACCGAGTATCAGCTTTTCAACATATTTGTGGAAAGTTGCACCTAATCTTTGATATGAGAAGGGTTTTGGTGCACTTGTTCATTAGCTTGTAATTATGTTCACTAGAAAAAAATATTTGAGCACACTTTATCAGTGTTTTAAGAATGGTATTTGAAGGCAACAGTTTTGTGGTTAGAGGATTTAAAAGTTTGCTTTCTGCGTGTCCAAAAAAACAGGTTCTAGAACAGAGATTACTGATTTCAGTTTCCAATCTGAAATGCCCTTAAAGAAAAGGCTTCAAAAAACAGATGCCTATCGCATCCTGGAAACTATCACCTTCAGGTATCTTAGACGTTCTATGGTCAAAATCATTACAAAAGAAAATAAATAAAAATCTTATGCCATAGTAACTTGTTAAGTGTTTAGTACTGGCATAGTTTGAACAGACCCAAATGACAACTTCTACAGATATAAATCATAGCAAAATTAAAATTAATGATTTGAGAAACCTGAAAGCATAACCATTTTCTTGCAAATAATCTTAGAGCAGCACAGTTTATAAACAGCTTCTTTATATTCTCTCTTGATGTGCAGCTTTCTTTGTCAGAATAACATATTCCTAGGAGGTCAGCAAATTAAAACCTAATATGTTACCATAATGTAACATTTCTAATATAAATGAATACTCCTTTTGTATTCTGGAAATTATGTTGTCCGGACAGTAGAAAAAGATTCTCAGTTAATTGTATCCTTAAAGGGTGACTTATAAGGTAGCAAATTTCAAGCAGAAAACCATGTAAACAAACAACAGGCCTGGAATATCCTTAAAGCCCTAATTTAAATGCAAAGTACACAGAGATTTTTGCAGTACCTCTAGTTGCAGGTACCTCTTCAATGATACTGTCTTATTTACAGCGCAGCACAGCTTGCACCGTCCCTTTCACTGGTCTGCTGTGAAGCAAACAAAAGGATCCAGGCTGGTTTTCCCCATGTACTCGCAATCCAATTATTTTTCCATGGACTGATTTTCTAGTAGCTTCAGGAATGGACTGAAGACTTCTCCTT